CAAGTTCTCGGCCAACGGAGAGCTGGGCAACGGCAACATCAAACTGTCCCAGACCAGCAACGTGGACAAGGAGGAGGAGGCTGTGAGTGCACAGAACTCGTTCTCTGAAGCTGCGGGGTTGGGTCGGGGAGTTACGGTTTGGGTTGGAAGGGACCTTCAGAGGGCAGCTGGTGCACCCAGAGGCTGGTTGGGCACTGACCAGGCTCCCAGGGCAGTGGGCACAGCACCAAGGCTGCCAGAGCTCCAGGAGGGTTGGGATGATCCTCTGGGGCACAGGGTGGGACTGGTGGGGCTGGGCCTGTGCAGGGCTGAGGGTTGGACTGATGGTCCTTGTGGGTCCCTCCCAGCTCAGCACATTCTGTGAGCCCCTGCAGTGAGCAGGGACAGAGCTGTCTCTGCCCCTGCTTTGTGGGTTATGGACCACGAGTCCCTGCCAGTGTGAGGTCCTTGCCCTGGGCCCCAGCAGTGCTGAGCTCTGCCCGACATGTCTGAGTGACTTGTCTGAGTTGTTCTCTGGAGGGAGCTCCTGCAGCTGCATTTCCTGAGGTCTGCCTTGGTTTTTTAGGTTACAATAGAGATGAACGAGCCAGTCCAGCTGACCTTTGCCCTGAGGTACCTGAACTTCTTCACCAAAGCCACTCCCCTGTCCCCTACAGTCACACTCAGCATGTCTGCAGACGTTCCTCTGGGTGAGTGCAAGTGGCTCTGCCACTTGCAGAAATCTTGTAGGATTAGAACTTGTGACTTGAATTTGCTGTAGAACCTTGTGAAGACCCTTTTCTCCCCTCTCTCTTTCCCAGTGGTGGAGTACAAGATCGCTGACATGGGACACCTAAAGTACTACCTGGCTCCAAAGATCGAGGACCAGCAGGAAGGCTCTTAACTGGGGCAGGACTGAGGGGGATCTGCTCGTGGCTTGGGGAAGGGAATGGTGGTGATAGCAATTCCAGTGCCTTGGAGCATCCTGGGAGCACTGTTAGGCTTGGCTTGTAGATATCTTTGTAAATATTTTTCAACTTACTCTTTTGCTATCCTTGGCATCTTTGGAAATAGGAATCGTTTGGGTTTTTCTAGTCTGTTCCTGTACTCCCAATAATCTCTCGGATGCTGTCTGAAGGTGAAATTTCTGACTCCTCTCAACTTGTGTAGGAGAAGGGGGACAATATTTAATGAGTCAACTCCTGGAGTTTCACCTGTGGAGCTGTAGTTTAGGGTTGATGTTTTTATTATGCCACAAGTTTGTGTGACTTTGACTTCATTTATTTTTGAAGCTGATATTCAAACTGATACTTGGAAATAAAAGATATAATTTCATGGGGTTTGTCCTGTTGAAATGTGGATGGGGGAGTGAATCAAATCTTTGTCAGGTGCTGAGGTGCCCGGGCTCCTTTCTCAGGGCACTGCAGGCCCAGAATTCCCAGCCTTGGTCATTAATTTGTGAACAGAGGGTGTGGTTACACTTTGGATAATTAATTGGTCCCTGATGCTGTTTCCCTGAATCCTGGAGTGGTTTGGGTCGGAAGGGATTGTAAAGCTCCTCCAGTGCCACCCTCTGCCATGGGCAGGGACACCTTCCACTAAACCAGGTTGCTCCACCCTGGCCTTGGACACTTCCAGGGATCCAGGGGCAGCCACAGCTTCTCTGGCAATTCCAGCCCAGCCCCTCCACACCCTCAGAGGGGAGAAATCCTTCCCAATATCCCACCTAACCCTGCCCTCTGGCACTGGGAAGCCATTCCCTGTGTCCTGACCCTCCATCCCTTGTCCCCAGTCCCTCTCCAGCTCTTGGAGCCCCTTCAGGCCCTGGAAGAGGCTCTCAGCTCTCCCTGGAGCCTTCTCCTCTCCAGGTGAACCCCCCCAGCTCTCCCAGCCTGGCTCCAGAGCAGAGGGGCTCCAGCCCTTGGAGCAGCTCCGTGGCCTCCTGGACTCTCTCCAGCAGCTCCAAATCCTTGTGATGTTGGGGATTCCAGGGCTGGAGCAGCTCTGCAGGTGGGGTCTCACCTGAGGGGCAGAGTCACCTCCCGTGACCTGCTGCCTGTGATTCAAGGGCAGGGGTTCTGTGAAACGTTTTCTGTAACAACCATCATCCTGGGGGTGCTGGGGCTGCCTCGGGCTGTCCCTGTCCCTGTGGCTGCCCTGGGGACTCCCCTGAGGGCACTGGTGGCACTGGGACCCACAGGTCACACCGGGACCCCTCCTGGCTCTGCCTCTGCTGCTCTGAGGGGAAGGTCTGTGGTGGGTCAGTGGGAGCCTCTCCCACACCTTCCCCTGCTGCTGTCCCCACCCTGGGCACCAGCAACCCCTGCCCTCATCCAGGGTGTCTGTGACCCTCTTGCTGTGGGTGAGGGTTAAAGGTCACCCTGAAGGTGTTTGATCACGAAAAACCGTTTCAAAGCAGTTCCAGGCAGTTGCTGTTTTTCTTCACTGTTGGTTCCACAAACCCTTTGGTCTCTGCTGAGCCCGAGTGACCCACCAAGAGCTGTGGGGCTGCTCGGCCCGGCCGGGGCTGTGGGGCCGGGGGGACTCGGGCTCTGAGGGGGCTCTGGGGTCTGCAATCCAGGACAGGAGGGGGGAGCTGGGCGGGTCCAACTCTGCTCCCAGGGAACCAGGGACAGGACAAGAGGAAACAGCCTCAAGCTGTGCCAAGGGAGGGTCAGAATGGACATCAGGAAGACTTTCTTCATGGAAAGGGTTGTAAAGCATTGGAAGGGGCTGCCCAGGGAGGTGGTGGAGTCCCCACCCCTGGAAACGTCCAAAAAAACGTGTGGATGTGGCACTGGAGGACATGGGTTATGGTGAACACGGTGGTGGTGCTGGCTGATGGTTGGACTTGCCGGTCTTAAAGGTCTTTTCCAACCCAAACAATCCCATGATTTTAAGTATATTTTTCAGGGAGCTGTGTCCTTCCCACTGCTCAGCAACTCAGGAGTAGCTTGAGCTTAAACTGCCTGAAAACTCGTCCCTTGGAAGCCCGGAGTCACGGAGCAGGAGGACGGCACAAGGTGGCAGTGCCGGCGAGGAAACGAATCCCGCTGGGTCAGAGCGGTGGTGCTGCCGTGGGATGGACACTGGGCCCTGCTCGGAGCTGGGGACAGGATTTCCCCGTGCCCTGGACCTTGATCCTGTTGGGAGCAGCACTGCTTTGCTCCGGGGGATGGTCTGGAGGTGTCCAAGGTCAGGTTGGATGGGGCTTGGAGCAACCTGGGCTAGTGGATTGTGTCCCTGCCCATGGCAGGGGGTGGAACAAGAGGATCTTTCTGATCCCTTCCAAGCCAAACCAGTCTGGGATTCTGTGGTTTAGACCCCGATTTGCTGCTGTGCTGCAGGTGCCTCCCATGCTGAGCTGTCTCGTGTCTCCATTTATCCTCAACTTGCTTGGCTGGTTAATTCAGGAAAAGTCTGGAAAGGAAGATCATTGACCCTGAAGTTTTTCAACAGTCACAGAATTCTTGCCCAGGGCAGTGGTAGAAGCCTTAAATAACCAGGGAACTTTTTGTCCCTCCAAATGTGGTGCTGGGACGGGATCAGCCCTGTGGTGCCCACGGCAAACTGGCTTTGGAAGAATTTTGTGGAAACTTTGGCTTCAGCGGGGAATCCAAGGTTTGTGATATGGAAATAGGGAAGGATTCTGGGGTGTAAAGCCAGTGATCGAAGCAAATTCTTTTTGGTGCAACTTCCAGCTGTAGCAGAGGTCACCAAACTCTTCCTTTGTGCTGTTCTACCCATAAACACATTGTAAAAATCAGCCAAATTGTTTAATTGCTTGTTTTTACAGCTGAAATGACCAAGTTGAGCAGCCTGTTGTTGCAAGAAGCATCCTTTAACATTGGTCCTTACACACTTGTGTCCTGTCTGGTCTCTGCATAAATCCTGAAAGCAGCTGGACCTTTACTTTGCCAGGCCCAAATAATGAAAATTTTAAAGGATGTTCCCTTTAAAACAAAACAAACAAAAAAAACCCCAAAACCCCAACCAAATGCAAAAAAATCCCTGGGAGGGTTAATAAATGCCGTGTTTTTCTCCCCGTTTGAGAGAGGAAGTTTTAGAAGTTTATATATTTAGACTTTCTCACCAAGGAGGTAATAAATAAGAAGGGGGGAGGGATAATTCTCAGGAATTTAAGGAGATTGGGCTTCTCAGGCTCCAAATCCAGCCCGTATTTTATTAATTCACAGGAAGCAGCTCCCTTGGGAAGCTCCCCGGAGGAGGCACATCCATCCCCACACTGCCCCACCCGAGTTAACATTCCCGGTGCTGAAATAACGCCCTGGCTGTGTGTGCGTCCCCTCTCAGCCCTTCACAACGCCCCCGGGAATGTCCCGGGATGTTCCCGGCTGGAAGAGAGCCGGGAGCATCCTTTGGGAAAGCAGCTTTGTTGGAAGGCGCGGACGAAGCCGCTGGTCCATAAACCCCCTGCGAACCCCAGATGAGCCCCGCTGGATCTCGCAGGACACGGTCTGGACCACCCTCGTCCAAGAACCCGGGAATTCCAGCGGTTTTCCCTGGAGCGCCGGGCCGGGAAAGGCCGGCGGGGCGCGGGCGCTGCCGTGACCTGGAAGGAAATCGCCGTCACCGGGATAAACTTCCCGGGCAGCGCGGAAGGGCCGGGCCGGCACCGGGTAACGGGGCTGGGGGACTGGGGGGGATTTGGGGTGGGTTTGGGGGGATTTGGGGTGGGGTTGGGGGTGTTTGGGAGCGACGCGAGGCCGGGAGCGCGGGGGGAGCGCCCGGGCGAGGCGGGACCGGCGGCCCGGGGACATTGGGGAGGTCCGGGGACATTGGGGAGGTCCCGGGGACACTTCGGGATGTCCGGGGACATTGGGGAGGTCCGGGGACATTGGGGAGGTCCGGGGACACCTGGGGAGGTCCGGGGACATTGGGGAGGTCCGGGGACACCTGGGGAGGTCTGGGGACACCTGGGGAGGTCCGGGGACATTGGGGAGGTCTGGGGATACCTGGGGAGGTCCGGGGACATTGGGGAGGTCCGGGGACATTGGGAAGGTCTGGGGACACTTCGGGATGTCCGGGGACACTTGGGGAGGTCTGGGGACATTGGGAAGGTCCGGGGACACTTGGGGATGTCCCGGGGACACTTCGGGAGGTCCGGGGACACTTCGGGAGGTCCGGGGACACTTCGGGAGGTCCGGGGACACTTTCGGGTGTCCCCGCTGAGGTTTGAGCTCCCAAAAGTTCCAGAGTGACCCCCCAGCCCTTCCGCATGTCCCGTGTGGAACACTGCTCCGCTTTAGGGGAGAATCGGGAATCCGGGTTTGTGTTTCCCGGATCCTCCCCGGGTTTAAAACACAGCTGAAATCCGGAATTACAGCCTTAATTATCTTGGCCAAGTTGCTTAGGCCCTGCTTGTTTATTTTTTGTAAAGTAAATATTTTTGTTCCTGCTCCTGGACCCTTGCAGAGCACGATTTAATGCACTGTAGGCTCGATATGAGGCTTAATGGGGTCAAACCTGGCCTTTAAACTCTCTGAGAGAGTATTTTTTTATGCATTTGTCATGAATAGCTTCTTTCTTGTTCATAGGTGATGTAATGGGAAAGGCAGACAACTTGTGCAGGTGTAAATTAGAAATAATTCCTAAGAAGTCACTAAAAAAACTGGTAAATAATGGGGTGGTGGGTGAGAAAAGAGGGGGAAATGGGGCAGAGTCAGGAAATGTGACTTTCATTTCAGAAATGCTGATTTATTTGGGCTTCTTCCCCTCCTGCACATCCACCCCCAGGCATGTGGGGAGTTTTTAGGAGACCCTGGGGGTGTTTGGGTGCTGGGACCTGAAAAACAGGGATATGTGAGGAGCTGGGAATACCACCCTGTGGGTAGGAGGTATTTCCTAAAGACGTTCTTTCTATATTTGGGTTTTGCTACCAAAACAAGCCCCAAAGGTTCAGCTGTGGGGGTTTAAGATCAGAGGACGTTGGTTGTTTTATAAAAGTCAAATTTGCAGCAGGAGGAACAAACCTGAGTGGGGAACGTGCCAGTGATTAACAACGGGGGCACAAAGGATTTTGTGGAGATGCATCACCTTTAATGCTAAATCCTGTTATGGAAACAGTGTCTTTATCCCTTCCTGTTGGCACAGTTGGAATATGCACTTTTGTTCTCTTTATTCCACACTTTCTCAGCGAATAAAAGCACCACTGAGGCTGGAAAGAGTGGGAAGCCCTTTCCTGCCCCTCTCCTGGGAATTGTAGCCCTGGGCTGTGTTTGAGGAGACACCCAGGTCCTGCTGGGCCCTGTTCCTGGGTCTGCAGGGTCTGGGGGTGTTGGCAAGGATGGATCCTGGCTCCAGCCCCTGGGAAGGTGG